TGGAGTGCAGTGGCCTGATCTTGGTTCACTGCAACCTCCATCTCTCGGGTTCAAGCGATTCTCCTGCCTCAGCCTCTGGAATAGCTGGAATTACAGGTGCCCACCACCACGCCCAGCTAATTTTTTGTATTTTTAGTAGAGAGGGGATTTCACTGTGTTGGTCAGCCTGCTCTTGAACTCCTGACCTCAGGTGGTCCACCCACCTTGGCCTCCCAAAGTGTTGGGATTACAGGTGTGAGCCACGGCGCCCGGCCCCATTTATTTATTTATTTATTTATTTATTTATTTATTTATTTATTTAGAGTGGGAGTCTCACTCTGTCGCTCAGGCCGGAGTGCAGTGCTGTGATCACAGCTCACTGTAACCTCCAACTCCTGAGCTGAAGGGATCCTCCCACCCAAGTCTTCTGAATAGCTGGGACTAGCGTGCCCAGGTAATTTTTTTTTTCATTGTTTTAGAGATGTGGTCTTGCTATGTTGCCCAAAGTGGTCTTGAATTCTTGGCCTCCAATAATCCTCCTGCCTCAGCCTCCTGAGTTACTGGGATTATAGGCACATGCTGCTGTGCCTGGCATTATTTTTCATGTGTATTTCACTCTTCCCCCACTGTTACACTTCATGAGAGCAGCAATTGTCTATTTTATTCATGTTCCTGCTGAAGAGTGCCAGGCCCACAGCAGGCACTCAATAAATTTAAGCCATTATTGGAATCCTTGGTGTGCCTCAGGCTCCCTGACACTTCGCTGTGTGAGGCAGGTATTACTCCAGATCCTTCAGTTTGGAATACGGTGTATTTGAGGAACAGCAGGGAATGGTATGGTGGGAGTATAAGAGTGAGGGTGTGTAGGGGAGATGAGTTCAGAAAGGTGGGAGGGAAGGTTAGTCATTGCCAGGTCTGGAGTTCTTTTTTTTTTTTTTTTTTAGACGGAGTCTTGCTCTGTCGCCTAAGCTGGAGTGCAGTGGCCCAATCTCAGCTCACTGCAAGCTTCGCCTCCCAGGTTCACGCCATTCTCCTGCCTCAGCCTCCAGAGCAACTGGGATTACAGGCGCTCGCCACCACCACGCCCGGCTAATGTTTTGTATTTTTTTTTAGTAGAGACGGGGTTTCACCACGTTAGCCAGGATGGTCTCGATCTCCTGACCTCGTGATCTTCCTGCCTCGGCCTCCCAAAGTGTTGGGTTTACAGGAGTGAACCACCACACCCAGCCTTTTTTTTTGTTTTCTGAGACAGGATCTCGCTCTGTTGCTCTGTCCAAGATGGAGTGTTGGAGTGCAGTGGTGCTATCTCTGCTCACCACAGCCTCCTTTTCCTGAGCTCAAGCGATCCTCCCACCTCAGCCTCCTGAGTAGGTGGGACTACAAGGGCATGCCACCAGCCCAGCTAATTTTATTTTAGTTTTTTGTAGAGATGGGGTCTCCCTATGTTGCCCAGGCTGGTCTTGAACTGGACACAAGCCATCTTCCTGCCTTAGCCTCCCAAAAGTTCTGGGATTACAGGCGTGAGCCACTGCACCTGGGCGATTTTTTCAACAACAAATAATTTTTTTTTTTTGAGATGGAGTTTCGCTCTTGTTGCCCAGGCTGGAGTGCAGTGGCACCATCTCAGCTCACCACAACCTCTGCCTCCTGGGTTCAAGCGATTCTCCTGCCTTAGCCTCCCAAGTAGCTGGGATTACAGCCATGAGCCACCATGCCTGGCTAATTTTGTATTTTTAGTAGAGACAGGGTTTTTCCATGATGGTCAGGCTGGTCTCGAACTCCCAACCTCAGGTGATCCACCCGCCTCAGCCTCCCAAAAAAAGTTCTGGGATTACAGGCATAAACCACCGCACCCAGCCCTTCAACAACAAATAATTTTTGAGAGTGCACTTGCGCCAAGCATTGTTCTAGGCACAGACCGACACAACCCTCAGAGTTCCCAGGAGAGTAGGAGGCTACCTATAGATGGGAAATAAGTAATTCAAGATTGGGTAGGTGCTACTAAAACAAAATCAGGCCGGGTGCGGTGGCTCATGCCTGTAATCCCAGCACTTTGGGATGCCGAGGCGGGCGGATCACCTGAGGTCAGGAGTTCAAGACCAGCCTGGCCAACATGGAGAAACAATGTCTCTACTAAAAATACAAAATCAGCTGGGTGTGGTGGCGCATGTCTGTAATCCCAGCTGCTCGAGAGGCTGAGGCAGGAGAATCGCTTGAACCCAGGAGGCGGAGGTTGTGGTGAGCTGAGATCACGCCCTTGCACTCCAACCTGGGCAACAAGAGTAAAACTCTGTGTCAAAAAAAAAAAAAAAAAAATTAGCCAGGCGTGGTGGCGCGTGCCTGTAATCCCAGCTACTCGGAAGGCTAAGGCAGAAGAATTACTGGAACTGGGAGGTAGAGGCTGCAGTGAGCCAAGATCATGCCACTACACTCCATTCTAGGTGACAGAGCAAGATTCCATCTCAAAAAAAAAAAAAAATCAAACAAGTTGTGGTGGGGTGGTGACCCACCTGGATGTGTTGAGCTAGGAAGGGCAAGGAAGACCTCTCTGAGAAGGGGATATTAGGATTGGTGAAGCTATTGGGGAAAATGTCCACTGGGCAGATTTAACAGTAAGGGCAAAGGCCCTGGGGTGAGAAGGAGCCAGGGTCAAGGGAGCCCAGCTGAGTGAAGGAGAGAGTGGGAGATGGAACTGAGAAAGTTGTCCGCAGTGAGTAAGTCAGTCCTTGCAGGTCTTGGTGGAGTTGGGGTTTTATTCTGAGTGTGTCAAGAAGTCACTGGAGGCCGGGCATGGTGGCTCACACCTGTAATCCCAGTGCTTTGGGAGGCTGAGATGGGAGGATCGCTTGATTCCAGGAGTTCAAGACCAGCGTGGGCTACATGGCACAACCCCGTCTCTACAAAAAACACAAAAATCAGGTGTGGTAGCATGTGCCTGTAGTCCCAGCTACTTGGGAGGCTGAGGCTGAGGTGGGAGAATTGCTTGAGCCCATGAGGTGGAGGTTGCAGTGAGCTGTGATTGTACCACTGCATTCCAGCCTGGGCACCAGAGCTGGAGACCCTGTCTCAAAAAAAAAAAAAAAAAAAAGAAAAGGCACTGGAGGTTTCAAGGAGGAAGACATGATTCAACTGCCATCATACTGGGATGCAGACCTGGTTGCTTACCTTTTATTTTTATTTTTTACAAGTCCCCAGCGAATATCATACCTGGTTGCTTTTTTTTTTTTTTTTTTTGAGATGGAGTCTCGCTGTGTCACTCAGGCTGGAGTGCAGTGGCATGATCTCAGCTGACTGCAACCTGTGCCTCCTGCATTCAAGTGATTCTCCTGCCTCAGCCTCCCAAGTAGCTGGGAATATAGGTGTGTGCCACCATGCCTCCAAAAATACAAAAAAGTGATTTTTTGTATTTTTAGTAGAGACGGGGTTTCACAGTGTTGGCCAGGCTGGTCTCAAACTCCTCGCCTCAGGCAATCCGCCCGCCTCAGCCTCCCAAAGTACTAGAATTACAGGCCTGAGCCACTGCGTTCAGCCTGTACCTGGTTGCTTTCTTTTGATCCTCTGGGCTACCTCCTTCCTCTTTCTCTGGATTGGCACCCACCTGTTCAGATTATCCCTCCACTTTCTGATGACGACACCTTCAGGTTGAGAAATCTGGCTTTGACCCAGAAACCACAAGCAAAATCCCCATCCTTTCTCCGCCCGTGGACTATACCCAAGTGTGGTTCCTCCTCACAACCCTTCCAGAAAAGTCCCTAATGCTGTGTAAGCTCACTTGCTTCATCTTTTCAAAGACCATTGTAAAGGAACAGCCAGTACAGGGAGGTATCACATTACGGCTTCCTTCACCTCCTTTCTCCTCTCCCATATCTCAGCAGGCTGGGCTCGCACCTCCCTAATAAAGCATCAGCACAGGTCAGGCACAGTAGCTCATGCCTTTAATCCCAGCACTTTGGGAGGCTGAGGCGGGCAGGTCACTTGAGGTCAGGAGTTCGAGAACAGCCTGGCCAACATGGTGAAACTGTCTGTATTAAAACAAAATACAAAAATTAGCTGGGCATGGTGGCGAGCCCCTGTAGTCACTGCTATTCGGGAGGCTGAGGCAGAACTGCCTGAACCCAGGAGTGGAGGTTGCAGTGAGCCAAGATCCTGTCATTGCACTCCAGCCTGGGTGACAGAGTGAGACTCCATCTAAAAAAAAAAAAAAAACATTACCACCGTAACTCTAATCTGGGCTCTGGGCTCTGCTTCCTAGCCAACTCTCCTAAAGGGGTCTTTTAGTACTGGGGAGTCTTTGGGCATTTTCTTGCCCCTCTGGACTCAGGAGCACAGTGACACCTACTCCATGTGACTCAGTTTCTCCCTCCTGTGCCCACCCATGTGGCTGGTGAGTCTAACAAGCAACATTTATAATAGTGAAGGATAAGGCTCTAGAAGCCATTTCAGTCTAGCTCCCTGGTCCTTGCTCTTCCTAGCTTAATTAACCTCTGAATTAAGCAACTTGGCCTCTCTGAACTTCAGGTTCCTCCTGTATAAAAAGTGGTAATAGTACTTACTTCTATATAATTATGAAATATTTATATAGAGTGGCTAAAACACTCTATATAAAGTGGCAAATAAAGTGGCTAGAACAAGCACTCTATTTTTTTCTGAGGCTGGAGTGCAGTGGGTGCAATCATGGCTTACTGAAGCCTCAACCTCCCAGACTCAGGCGATCCTCCCAACTCAGCCTCCCCAGTAACTGGAACTACAGCTGCATGCCACCATGCCTAGCTCCTTTTTGTATTTTTTGTAGAGGCAGTATTTTGCCACATTTCCCAGGCTGGCCTCGAATTCCTGGCCTCAAGTGGATCCTCCCAAAGTGCTAGGATTACAAGTGGGAGCTAGAGCACTTGGCCAACAAGCACTCAATAAACGTCATGTACAATGATACATCTACCCCAACTAAAGTGGTGCTGATGTTTAGGAACTTACCGGGTCCCTCCCACTGACCCAGTGAAGTTTAGAAACATAAGACAACATCACTCCTTCCAAAATACTTTTATTTAAAAAAATTACAAACAATCCAAAAAAAAAAAAAGTCACCACAAACTCTGCCTTTCTTTTAAATAACGTGGCATGGAGCAGTTTGGTTTCCACCCTATTGCACGTGGTCCGGCCTGGTTATGAAATCAGGAGGCTGCTGAGACTGGGGTCCTGCCAAGGAAGTGGGGTTCAGCCTGGAGGGAGGAGACCAGCCCCTCCCACCCCCTCAAGGTGCAAGAGGCAGAGCCTGGGTTTCTATAGCAACCTGGCAGCACATCCCTGTCATCCTTCAACAGGCCCAGTTTTCTTTTATCTTCCCTGAGGCCCCAGTGGTCACAGGGGAGTGGGAACTAGCGGGAAAGGTGGAAGAAATGTTTAAGTGGAAAATCAGACTCCCAGAAACAGAGTCTCGTTAAGGCATTTGGAATAGATAAATTAATTCAGGAAGACCCACCTTCACAGAAGGTTGGGGTAACCAGACACACACACACATGCAAGACGGTTTGTGGAACCCTGAAATGGGAACAAAGGAGGCCATAGTCGCTGCTTAGAGCCCCCACAAAAACACACACCCAGAGTTGCATTCAGGGATCCAGGCCACAGAAGATGACACAAGAGAGGATCCCCTCCATCACAGTTTTAGGACCCCAGAATTATTTCCATGATGTGATCCAGTTCATTCCACTCCCAAGAACCTGGGGCACAGAAGAGGTTGTGAGGAGGCTCTGGTGGGGCCCGCGCAGGCTCCTTTTCTACCGCAGATGTGTCAATGTCCAGAAAGAAGTCATCCAGGCCAGAGTCCCCCAAGTACCGGGAGCTCAGCGCCTCTAAGAAGACTGGATCAGGCTGGGGTGGCACTTCATTCTGGAGGCCGAGGGGAGCCACTGGATTCTGAGGGGGCTCAGTCTCATCCATGGAGGTGTCCAGCTCCCTGAGGATAGAGCCAATGGTGGCTGACAAGGAGAAATCCTCCTCGCCCAGGAAGAGGGGCTCGGGGGGCAGGGCAGGGGCTGGAGCCAGGCGAAGTGCAGCCTGCAGCTGCTGGAGGGTGTTATGGATGAGGACATGCCTGCGGAGGCTGGGTGCTCGGGGGCCCAGGCTGCGCTGGACTTTGTCTAGGGAGATGCGGAGCAGGGCTTGCTGGTAGCTCTGAAGGCCTGCTGGACTCCACTCCCACCTCTCCTCCTCCTCTTCCAAATCAGAGTGTTTCCTCTTCAAGCCTCCCACCATGATGCCCTGTAGAGAGAAGAGGGGCATAGGGGCATGTCAGACACCAGACACCGTAGTGCTGGCTCAAATCCCACTTTTTCAGGCCTATTGAGTTGTTGGTGATTTTTAATCATCTGAATCTCGGTTTACTCATCTATAAAATGAAGGCTGTCTGAATCCTACAAGGTTAAGGAGGTGAATACATATGTGATTAAGAAAATAAGATCTGGACTTAAGTACAGCTAGATTTAAATCCCACTTACTTGCCTATTGTGGCCTCAAACAGTGAATTTACATCCATGAGAATCAATTTCCTCATCTGCCAAATACGGATCCTAACAAGTTCCTCTGAGCCTTAAAACTGTTCTTCCACAATATTAATTTCTTCAAACATGGAGCACGAAAGACAGGTGTGGAGCAGAGAGACCTGGATTGGAAGTAGGGAACCCCAAATTTGATTTCTGTACTGGAAACTGCTCAGCTGCGTGATCGTGGGAAGTGACCTGAGTCAATTCTCAGGCCTCAGTTTCCTCATCTGTAAAATGGGGACTGTAAAAAAAATACTTCTCACCACCTCTGTCTAAGGAGATGCCACGTATCTATAGGGCCCACCACACAGGAAGTGCTTAATGAACCAGAGTTGTGTTTTTTTTTTTTTTTTTTTGAGACGGAGTCTCGCTCTGTCGCCCAGGCTGGAGTGCAGTGGCCGCATCTCAGCTCACTGCAAGCTCCGCCTCCCGGGTCTACGCCATTCTCCTGCCTCAGCCTCCCGAGTAGCTGGGATTACAGGCGCCCGCCACCTCACCCGGCTAGTTTTTTGTATTTTTTAGTAGAGACGGGGTTTCACCGTATTAGCCAGGCTGGTCTCGATCTCCTGACCTTGTGATCCGCCCGTCTCGGCCTCCCAAAGTGCTGGGATTACAGGCTTGAGCCACCGCGCCCGGCCGTGTTTGTTTTTTTTTGTTAGAGACAGGGTCTCGCTCTGTCGCCCGGGGCTGAGTGCAGCAGCGCTACCACAGCTCACCGAAGTCTCGAAGTCCCGGGCTCAAGCGATCCTCCCGCCTCAGCTCCTGAGTAGCTGATTACTCCTGAGTAGGGATTACTACCACACCCGGCCTCGATCAAGAGTTAATTGCCAGTTATACGCTCAACAGATTTACTGAGTGCCTACTATATTCGAACTTCCTGGGTCCCTGCTGGGGCACCTATGTTAAGATTCTTCTTTCACAGTCAGGATATTTCCATGTCCTCTTCCTTAACCAACTGGGAGCGCTCCCAAGAGTAGGAAAGGGGCCTCATTCCCTCTGCCCGCGCTTTCAGATTCCCCCAAAGCGCGCCCCACAGGAAAACTTGCTAGAACTCAGCTCAGACCAAGCCCCGCCCCCTAGGGGGGTCCCGCCCAATCAGACCTCGGCACTGCAAGGCCCCGCCCCTCCATGGGTCTTTAGAGAGCATCCAGGAACGCCCCAATTTGTCCCAGGGGCTTCTGGGAAACGGGGGCCAACAGCCGCCAGGTACACGAACCGACGTCGAGCACGCACTACAATCCCCAGAGGGCTCCGCCCGTCCAGGGGACGAGCCCCCCTCCCCCGACCCCGCTCTCCCTCAGGGCATGCGCACAGTGGCACAAGCGAGTGGGGGAAGGGAACCCGGACGTCCAGCTGCCGGCGCCCACCGAGCCCCGCCCTCCGTTGCCTCCGGGGCGGCGAGTCTGAGCTCCATGCCCGGAACACCCCTCCCCCACCCCTGACTCCGGCTCTAAATCTGCTTTCTCCCTGTCCCTCCGTGCCTTGAAAGTCCGGGATTCTCCTCCCAAACTGCCCTTGGATCCAGAGACCCAGATCCGAACACATCGCTCAAAGACGACAATGCTGCGATCTAGTTCGCGAGACTACGTATCCTAATTTTGATACTTCCTCCCACTTCCCCTATTCTCCTGACTTTCAAACGCCCCTGGACTACACCTCTAAACTCGCTGCCCGGCTCCAAGACCCGAACATTGAACTCTTCCCGGCATCCTCCCTTCCCCCGCCAGTGCGTCTTGGAGTCCAAGAATCCTTGACCCTAGCTCTCTCGCTTCTCCAAATACTCAGGATCTCAGCCCCAAACCTCTCACACCTTTTCCAGAACACGATAAAGCCCCGAATTCAACCCGTCCGGAAGACCCAAGTGGAATCGAATCTCCAGGTTCCCTGTCTCAAAAGTTCCTTCCCTCTGTTCTCTCGCTTCTCCAAACGCCCCACGCCCCACGTCCCAGCTTCAAACTCCCTCCACTTGAAAATACTGCCCCAACAACCTCGCATCCCCTCCTGGGTCTCGAACTCAGTCTCGGGCCCCCAGACCCTCCCTATCATCACCCTGAATCTGAGGCCCCCTCCCCCGGTCTCACCCAGACCCCGCCTCCGCAAGTCTCCGGGGCGCGCCTCTCCCTCCTCCAGCCTAAGGTAAATTCCCAAGCCAGGCGACCACTCCTCACCCCAGCTGCCAGGTTTGCCACGACCACCTCCTGGAACGCCCACAGCGTCGCGACCCGCCAGTGCCGGGACCCACCAGTGACCGGCCGGGGCCTCGCTCACCTCGGCAGGGCCTCTCCGTCTGGCTTCGGGCCCACCCAGCCCCGCCCCGGAGCCGAGCCGCGAGCCGCGATTGGCTGGAGTCCCGCCCGCCGCGGGGCGTCGATTGGCTGGGCGGAGCTATCCACCCTTGCCCGGAGACGCCGGACCCGCCCACCCCTCCCTAGCGCCCCGGGCCATTTAAAGGAGTGCAACTGGCAGGGGGCGGGGCAGCGCCTCCAGGGGTGGAGGGCGGCTGGTCCAAGAGAACCGCTTCCTTCCACTGGGCTACGGTCCTCGCTCCAAGATCGTCACCACTACTCCCTGCAGTCCCTTTTTGCCAGGCCTGGACCCCACCGCGGAGCCAGAGGGGCTGGCATACCCTCTGGCTCCGGGAGGTCCAGGCAGGCGGGGCCGAACAACCGGAGGAGGCCGCGCCCCCGGGGTTCCGAGGGCGGACGCCGGGGCGGGGGATGACGTACCGAAAGACCAGCCAATGGTGTGACGCGGCCCGCGTTGCCTAGGCGATCGCAGCCCCGCCCCCTTGCTGCGCTTCTCCCGCCCCCCGTACGTTACCCCGCGGCCCCTTCTTAATCCTCGAGTTTTCTCAACGCGTCCTCTGGTGGTCCTACCTGGGTCTCCTGACACCTCTCTTCTTCCCCGCTCCAACAAGATGACTCCTCCGCTGCTGTTCATGGCTTCCTACCCCTCCTCCCCGAAGACAAACTTCAAACCCCTTCCTTTTGCCACAAAGCCCCTCACGACCTTGCCTGATGCGCTCTCCTGGTTCTCTCCGATCCTGCCCCATTGAGTCACTTCCAGTTTTTCTAAAATGGCTTCAAGCTCCCATTCCCCCCATCACGAAAACGAAAGGATTTTGTCTGTTTGTTTTCTTCCCTGCCTTACCCCAGTGTCTACAATGCCAGGTACGTAAGTTCTCAAACATGACAATAAAAGGCCTCTGGATCTTTATTATTTATTATTATTATTATTATTATTATTTTTTTTTTGAGACGGAATCTTGCTCTGTCACCCAGGCTGGAGTGCAGTGGTGCAACCTCGGCTCACTGCAAGCTCCGCCTTCCGGGTTCACGCCATTCTCCTGCCTCAGCCTCCCGAGTAGCTGGGACTACAGGCGCCCGCCACCACGCCCGCCTATTTTTTTTGTATTTTTAGTAGAGATGGGGTTTCACCGTGTTAGCCAGGATGGTCTCGATCTCCTAACCTCGTGATCCGCCCACCTCGGCCTCCCAAAGTGCTAGGATTACAGATGTGAGCCACCGCGCCCGGCCTGGATCTTTATTATTAATAATATTATTTTTTGCCTGGCGCGGTGGCTCATACCTGTAATCCCAGCACTTTGGAAGGCCGAGGCGGGCAGATCACGTGAGGTCAGGAGTTTGAGACCAGCCTGGTCCACAATGGTGAAACCCCGTCTCTACTAAAATACAAAAAGTAGCCGGGCGTGGTGGCGCAGCCTTGTAATCTCAGCTACTGGTGGGGCTGAGGCAGGAGAATCGCTTGAACCTGGAAGGTGGAGGTTTCAGTGGAGCCGAGATCATGCCACTACACTCCAGCCTGGGCAACAGAGCTAGACTCCATCTCAAAAAAAAAAAAAAAAAAATATATATATATATATATATATATATATACACACACACACACACATACACACACACACACACACACTTTTTAAAATACAGATGGGGGAGGCAGTGGGGGTTTCCTTGTGTTGCCCAGGTTGGTTTTGAACTCCTGGCCTCAAGCAATCCTCTTGCCTCTGGATATTTAAACTCGTTTCCTCATCCTGAAAATATACCCTCAATTCCCAGGCTGCTTCTCAGAACTTATCTCAAAGGTTTCCTCCTCTCAGAAGCCCTCCCTGGCAGTCCAGATTGAGTTAGGATCTATTCTAGGATTCCATGGCCTCCTGTGCCACCATCCCAGTCCTGGACTGTCAGTTACTATATGGACTGAGGAACCCCCCACCGAGGGCAGGTACTAAGGATATATCTGTCAACCACCGCTTGGTCTGCAGGATCACACAGCACAGGGCTGAACACGTAGCAGGTCCCAGTGAAAGTTTGCTACGTGCTCAGGAATGTGACAGAAAAATAAGGCAGAAAGAAGACACTCCTAGTGTCCTGAAAGCCCTCACCCGTAATGCCCCACCCCTACAATGAGTTTCCCTAAGGGGAGGAGGCAGTTTTCTCCAGGCCACCTCTGGGAAGGGAGGTTTAAACCTCCTCAGACCAGTTCTTGCCGGTTGGAGTTTGTCAACCAAGTCATCCTGCTGTTTGCAATGTAAGACGGAAGGATTTCCCCGGGGGGGGGTGGGGGGGTGGGGGGGGGGGGGGTGGGGGGGGTGGAGATAAAAGGGAGGGGAATAGGTAGGTGGGTGGTGTGGGTTGGAGGTAGGGAGAGAGAAGCGTCTCAGCTCACTCAGGCCTGGGGAAGGTGTCCCTGGGAACAAAAGAACCGGACAGTTGATTCCAAAAAAGGACATAATTAGGAAGGAGCAATTCTTCCGCTTCCTCCTCCAAAACCTGCTCCTCCTATAGGGTCCCCAAATCAGGAAAGCCCTACTGCATTTGGGTTTTTGTTTTAGAGACGGGGTCCCACTCTGTCGTGGATGCTGGAGTGCAGTGGCGCACCTCGGCTCACTGCAGCCTCAGCCTTCCTCCTGAAGCACTACTGTAACTCTGTCCCCAGGCTACAGCTCTGTGCTTCTTCCTGATGTCTCCCCTCCACCCCTCACCAACTGTCCACACAGGGTCCCAGGCATTCCTCCCACCCTCTCTCTCTTCCCCTCCTTACGGCTCCTCCTCCAACTCCAACTCCCTCTGGGCTATCGGCCTCCATTCCTGTGCCCTTCCTATCCACCTTCACAGAGTAGCCAAAGGAAGCTTCATAAGACACACACCCAACTGTCCCCCTGCCTTACCTCTCTGATGCTCCACTCCTTGCATGAATCCTCAAAATAAAGCACAAACTTTTTTTATTTTTAGAGACAGGGTCTCGATCTGTCCTATAGGCTGGAGTGCAGTGGCCAGGCCTTGACCTCCTGGCCTCAAGCCATCCTCCTGCCTCAGCCT